ATTTATATTCTCGTTTATGCTGATGATCTTTGTGGGAAATCCCTTCTTGTTTGTTCATATGTGTACGCATGTGGTATTTTAAATCAGGAGCACGAATAAATCTTTTATTACACAACCCACATTTATACAAGCGTTCCTTAATGTGGGTGCTGATGTGGTATTGTAAATAACACAGTCGCACAAAGGCTTTATTACAAAATTTGCATTTATGTGGTCGTTCTCCATTGTGGACACAAGCTTTGTGTTCGTTTAAAGCATTTTGTACCATAAATGTTTTATCACATACATCACAAACATAAGGACGTTCACCAGAGTGACTGCGCATGTGTCTTTTTAGTGCACCGGTTTGTATGAATGCTTTATCACATAAACTGCATTTGTGTGGCCGGTCCCCGGTGTGTATGGCTATGTGGGATTTTAAGTTCCCGAGTTGCACAAAGGCTTTATTGCATATATTGCACTTATGAGGGCGATCTCCAGTATGACACACCAGGTGTGCTTTCAAGTTGCTTCTTTTAGAAAAGGTTTTATCGCAGATTTTACATCTATGTTGAGAGGCTTCTGTGTGAACTGCGCTGTGAGTCTTTAAGTGTCTCATTTGTTTGAACCTCTGATTACATATTTTGCATGTGAGTAAATGCTCTTTTGTGTGCATACGTATGTGCCGGTTTAAATTACTTTTTACATTGAAGGTTTTGTTGCAAGTTTTGCACACGTAAGACCTTTCACCGGTATGGATTTTAAGATGTCTTTGTAAGTTTTGTCGATTGAGAAATGTCTTCGAGCAATATGTACATGTGCTGTGTTTTTCGTGGAAGAGCATGTGTTTTTTTAAATTATGTGGGAGTTTGAAGGTTTTGTTACATAAACCACATTTAAGGGAATCTGATACATCCTGTTTTTCTATCGTTACTTGTGAATTCAAACATTTTTGATCATTTTCAGTCTTTATAGTACTAAAGCCATCATCTTCATCTTGAATCTCTTCAATTGTATATTCTTCAGGTTCTAATTTGATTTTTATGGTTTCATCAGACATTTTTAAATATTATACATCAAATTTAATAAATATCAATGATACGCATTACATAACTTTTAATAATTAAAATAAATAATAAATATATTCAAAACAAACACAAGTTTGACGTTTGTTTTGACAAGTGAAGCATAGAGACTTCTTTTGCATTTAAAAAGATGGTAGATGTCTCGTCTATATTTATAACTAGTTGGTATTGGTATTTTGCCTTGAGGCAAGTTACATGAACTTACCGATATGTGTAAATAATCGACTTAATCAATAAAAAATAAATTAATTTGCAAGTGATTAAAAGTATTCCTAGTGGATTTGTGTTTTTATTACACATAATTGAAAACGAACGAACACGTCAACTCGTAGTATTTTCTAAGAGGAAATTTTCAAAAACTAACAGATTTTTTAATTGAACCAGTTTCTGTAGGACTTTGATGGTTTAGTATGTTCATTTAGAGACCATGTACTCTATCGTTATACCAAGTGAATCGTGTAATTTTAATTTTAACAAACCTCAAAACAACTACTCATTTTCTCAAACTTTGGTGAATTTATACCCAGTAAGCACGTGACGTTGCAGCAATATTCTATATAAATCCCTGCCAACATCCCCGCTGTGGCAATAAACCAATGTGGTGTAGATGTTAAAAATATATCACGAGATCGATATCACCTTATGATAATAAACCATCATCGTGGCGACATTCGTTTAAAATTGCAATCGTGACATGCCGATCAACCGTCTTCGTATGTTTTTTTTTTTATTATTATTATTTATTTGAATAAAAATATAAATTTTATACATCTCAGGCAGACCGTAATGTCTGGTATGAGAGATTGTACTAAATATTTATACAAAATATATATATATATATATATATATATATATATATATTAGGTTGTCAAATATCTCCCTTCCGCTTTTTTGCTCTTGGTTTATAATACAAAAAGGCGGAAGGGAGATATTTGACAACCTAATATATATATATATATATATATATATATATATATATATATGTATATATATATCGTACTATATATATACTACATCTAATGTATATAAAAATGTTCAGTTTTCAATTGTAATACACACACATGTATAAAAAACAAACAAATATATATGTATATGATATATATGTACAACTAGTTGAAAACGAATTTTTGTAATTATAAATCTCATCAGACTATATTTTAAATTTTTCTTTTTTTAAATTCTGCGATTATTATTTTAACTATTTTAAAATTTCCATTTTATTAATACAGTTAATGTTAACTATAAAGCATTTGAACCTAAGCTGAAGCAATAAAATTTATCTGAAAAAAAAAAAAAATAATATAAAAACATTTTATCTATATACATTTATTAATATTGGTCAATATAAAACAATTTTAATAATAACAGTTGTTTGATCTAAAAATATAAAATATAAAAAAAAAATGTGATTCGAAAATATATTATAAATTAGAATGAATGATCGGTACTGAAACAAGCATGTTATTGAGAAAATATGGTATATTCAAACATTTTTTTCTTATATTCTGAGCAGATATTGTTTTTTTATCTTCTTGATTTTGATGATTTTGATATATACATATATCAAAAACTCTCGAGTCACAAGGTTCCAAAAACAATGGATTCATATCCTTTATTATGAAACATACAATTTTATTCATGTCACAAATTTCTTGAATTAGTAATAATTTGCCATCTGTATCCATACAGAGATTGTTTGGTTTTCTATTAGAAATAAAGAAATCCTTTAAAAAAACTTTTACTTGACCTGTTCTCTCATACTTTATGCTTGGGTAACTCTGTTTGCTTGTGGTCACGCTTCCAAGCAACTTCTCTTCGGCCATTCTATTAACAAGCTGGTGAAGAGGCTTCGGTGAATTCTGTAGCTTGCTCTGAATTTTTTTAAAATAGCTTTCGAACGGAAAGCAGCTAAACCTGTCCAAGCAGCATTGAAATGTCATGACATCATTTGCAAGATGTACCAAATTATGTGTATTATAGGTCATCCTGCCAGCTCCATATAATTTAGAATACTCATTGACAAATGCAGTAAGGAACTTCTTGGCAATATCATTTTTTTCAACGCAGGTTTCAGGATTGCATAAAATTCTAATACGCAAGCTGAATTTCAAAAAGTTCAGGTAATTATCCTTCTTCAATGCAGGCTGCAAAACTACTGGTCCCAAATATAACAAAAATAATCTGAACTCTGTTGCTTTCCAGTGGTTGAACTCGTTCAGTGGTCTAGGCAGTCTAGAAAATTTCTCAAACTTTGATGAATTTTATAAAATTAAACTTGTCGTAAGGCCGTAATATTTCAGCAAGTTCTATAAGACCATGATATATATCGCCAAAAAAGTTCCATAGAAATCGGTTTATTTTTTTTTTTTCAACAGTTAATTACAAGAAAACGGCTCTATAGATTTTCACCTAAAACTAATCAGTATCATTCCCAACTAATATCTTTGAAACAGTTTTTGATTTTTTAAAATCGATTCGGTAGTTTGAGCTTAAATGTGGACCACAAGTTTAACACTTTTTTCCAATTTTCAATGGAACGGCTCGATCGATCGTCGCACAAAACTGATAATCGACAGTCCTCCTTGAGACACTTCAAATGGTTTTTAAATTTCTGAAATCGGTTCAGGCGTTTTTGAGCAATCGTCGATGAAAGTTTTAATTTTGACAAATGCCAAAAAAACGATACTAATCTTTGCAAACTTTGAAGAATTTTTAAAATTAAACAACTTATCGTAGGGCCGTAATATTTTAGTATGATCTATAAGACTATGATATCTACCGTCAAAACATCATAATAAAAACCGTCGAAATTTTTTTTAACACTTTATTACAAGAAAACGGCCCGGCCGATCTTGACCAAAAACTAATCAGCACAATCCCCAACCGATATATTTCGAACAGTTTTTGAATTTTCAAAATTGATTAAGAATTGCGGGTTAAAACAAGGACGATTTTTTTTTACTTTTCTGTGATTTACAAAGAAACGGCTTGGCTGATCGTCGCGCAAATTCGCTAAACGCTAGTCCTCATCGAGATACATCGAATGGCTTTTAAATTTTTTATATCGGTGCAGCCGTTTTTGAGAAAACGCCGATTTACGGCAACAAATCTGTTCACATACGCATACACACATACTTTTTCCAAATTTGGTTTCATTTGATTCAGAATGACTTGAAATGTCGAGAAAACATAAAATTAGCGAATCGGATTTTTTATGAAAACATAAACTTCTCTTTGGAGAAGTTAAAAAGCAAATTTCTAAAAAAAAGTTTCTTTTTTTTCAAACATTCCAAGATTCTTAAAAACCTAATTTTTTCAAAGTTTTTAAAGATATTAAAACTTGAATTACAATAGGGAAGTTCCAGAAATTTGCCTTAAGGCACGATGCCATGCAGTACTGGTTTATCAGGTTTGTTGCGGCCCAGTGCCTTTGCTTTGTACATTCTTAAATTTTGGCCTAAAGCAGCGATGTCCAACCTAAATTACTCTTTGGGCCATAATTTAGGAATATAAAAGGCACTGGGCCGCAAAAAATCTGGAAAACTAGTGGTGCATGGCATTGCGCCTTAAAGCAATTTGATGGAACTTCTCGTACCGTAATTCCAAACTTTTAAAAGCTTTAATATTTTTGAAAACTATGAAAAAAATAGATTTTTGAGAATCTTGAAATTATTGAAAAAAATGGACTTTTTTTTTGTATTTTAAAACTGTTTGAATATTGTTTTTTTTTGTCAAAATGGCCCTAAAGAGTAATTTGGGTTGAACTGTTATCTTCCGCCACCATTTGGGTACAGCTAGTCTTTTTTAAAATATACTCTATGCTTTCATTGTCAACTTCATGTCAACTTACATGTCAAACGACTAACCTCTTCATTATTTTGTAAAAAAAAAGCGTTATAGTTGAATTTACTATTTTATTTAAAGTATATGCATAAAATAAGTTGATAGAATACCCAATTGATAATTACTGAATGTACATACTGAATACAACTAAAAATGTCGGAAGAAACAATTATGTCTATGAATGATCAGACAATTAAGATTGAACCGCCAGAATATTCAATAGAAGACATTAAGTGCGAAATTGATGATGAATTTAATTATATAGATGGTATTGTTAAGTCTGAATCGTATTTTGAGGATGATAAAACGTCTCTGGATAAATTTATGAATTCTGAGGTGACCATAGAGGAAGAAGTCAAACAGGAGGTAATTGTGACACCAGTTTATAATTGTGACATTTGTAATAGAACATTTTTAGAATCGCTTCACTTAGAACAGCATATGATCGAACACATGCGCAGTCATAGCAAAGAGTACCCTGATGCAAGTAAAATTTGCAATAAGACCCTCAATCTATTAAAAGGGTTTAAATGTGAAATATGTTGTCGAGTTTATAGCAGGTCATATTATTTAAAGCAACACTTGCTTATTCATGCCAGTGGGAAACCTTTCAAATGTGAAATATGCAGTAAATCATTCACTCAATCATATAGTCTGAAACGTCACAAGCAGATTCATAGTGGGAAACGCCCCCACAAATGCAAAATATGCAATAAAACATTTGCACAATTGTTTAATCTGAAAACACACATAAACATTCATTCTGGAGTGCGTCTTTATAAATGCGAAACATGTGATAAAGAATTCCATTCGACAAGTGGTTTAGCAACACATAGACGAATACATACTGGAGAACGACCCTACAAATGCAAACTATGCAATAAGTCATTTAGACAATCAGTAACTCTGAAAAGACACATGCTCATACATTCCGGAGTTCGTTGTCATAAATGTGAAATATGCAGTAAATCATTTACGTTCCTATATTCTCTAAAATCACACTGTCTTATTCATACTGGAGAACGTCCACACAAATGCGAAATATGCAATAAGACATTCACACAGTTAGGTACTCTGAAAGCTCACATGGGCATTCATTATGAAAGACTTTTTTATAAATGTGAAATATGCAATAAGAAATATACTCGAGCGCACAATTTGAGAAAGCACATGGCTGTTCATAATGAAAAACCAGATGAAAATCAATGAAATATTAATTAGCTGAAACCAACTCTGTGTGTAAAATAGTTTGATTTTATTTTTATTGTAAATTGTATTACTATAATACAAATATCAGACATGTAAATACATTGATATAAATATTTTCTGTCTATAAGTTAAAAATATTTGATTCTTGAACCTTTTTATCCTTCTCTATTGTATGTTGTCATACTTTGTGTATGATTAATGCAAATATTCTTTAAATTTCCCTAAGGTAAGCTATAGTAATGGATCGAAAATCGAAAATGAAAATTTTTGCATATCTTCACGTTCCAGAGGTTTTTGAACAATTTGGCATACTTGACAAAAAATGGATGTGTGCGTGTGTGTGTATGCATGGATACAATTTTTTGGGAACACGGATCAACCGATTTGAATGGTTCAAAGAACATCCAATTCCTATTGATAGGGAGGTGTGCTGATTAGTTTTTGTAATTCATTACTGTTGTAAAATAAAATCAAGTTTTTCCTTTTCAAATATAAAACAAACTAGCTGTAAGTGGAATTCTGTCTTGAGGCAATTATGGCATCGTGCCTTAAGGCAAATTGCTGGAACTTCCCGTTGAATACTGGTATTTTGAATACTGTGTATGTATGTATGGATACAAATTTCCAGTCACGTTTTCGGGCGCACAGATCAACCGATTTGAATGGTTAAAAAAATATTCGATTCCTATTGATAAGGAGATGTGATGATTAGTTTTTGGCAAAGGCAGGTCCAGTCATTACGGAGATAAAGAGCAAAGAGAGCAGAAAATAGAAATGGAGTTTTTGACAGAACGAATCATCCGATTTGTATGATTCAAAAAACATTCAGTTCGTAATGACGGGAAAAAGTGGTTATTAGTTTTAGTGGCAAAGGTTAGGCGTAGCGGTTTCGGAGATACAGAGCTAAATGTTAGAAAAATGGCAGTTTTTGAGAGAACTAAGTGTCCGATTTAAATCATTCAAAGAACTTTCTGCTTGTTTCAACAAAATAATTGCTTTTGGAAAAAAAAATTTTGTTTCTAATTTTTTTTTTCAAAAAATATTTTTGTAATTTATTTTGGATTAAAAATTCAAAAAATTGCCTAGGCTAAGCACAGTCTAAGCGCCACTCTGGTACAAATGTTTAACCAAGTTCATTTAGACTGTTCATGTACCAGGAGCACTTTTCCAATTTTGTGAAAACTAATGAAAAATGTGAAAATGCCGCCAAGCTAAGCACAGTATAATGAAAATGTCGCACAGAATTATTTGCAAATGCATTTAGACTGTGACTGTACGGGAGCACTTTTTCAATTTTGTGTAAATTAAGGCAACTATTTTTTTGAAATTGAATTCGAAATGAATTGACGATTGTTAATGTTCTGGAGATAAATTGATTTATGATTTACATTTAATTTGCTCAGATTAACAAGCAAAAATAATGAAAGTTACAGTATTTGTAATAATATATTTGAAAACGTTTAAAATTTCTCAAATATTTCATTACGGTACGGGAAGTTCCAGTAGTTAGCCTTAAGGTACGGTGCCATACACCACTAGTTTGCTTTTATTTTATATTAAATCATCATACTACGGATATCATTTTAATGTAAATTCTATTCTTTCTACTCTTATTTATTTAAATTTATGTTATTATTTATTATCATTGCTAGATGTTAAATCATTAAACAGTTGTAATAAATAATGTAAGAAAAAAAAAAGTTAACAGGTGAAGCCATTTTCTTATCTTTGGGTGAAGCATAGAGCATTGTTTTGAATTTAAAAAGATGATAAATGTCCCATCTTTTTAGAAAACGTACTCTATGCTTTCGTTGTAAACCTAAACGTCAAGCGACTAACCTCTTCATTATTTTGTACAAAAAAACGCGTTGTAGTTGAATTCATTATTTTATTTAATGTATTTGGTTAAAATAATTTAGTATCATAGACAACTGTTAATTTACATAATATTTATTTTTATGTACCCAGTGAAAAATAAATATAAAGATGTCTGAAGGAATAATTATATCTCTGAATGATCAGACAATTAAAACTGAGCCACCAGAATATTCAATAGAAGACATTAAACGTGAAACTGATGATGAATTTAATTATGTCGATGGTATTGTTAAGTCTGAATCCTGTTTTGAGGATGATAAAACGTCTCTGGAAAGATTTATGAATTCCGAGGTGATGATAGAGGAAGAAGTCAAACAGGAGGTAATTGTGACACCAGTTTATAATTGTGACATTTGTAATAGAACTTTTTCAGAATCGCTTCACTTAGAACAGCATATGATCGAACACATGGAACAATTAAAAGGGTTTAAATGTGAAATATGTTCTAGAGTTTATAGCAGGTCATATTATTTGAAGCAACACATGCATACTCATACCAGAGATAAACCTTTTAAATGTGAAATATGCAGTAAATCATTCATAGTATTATCTGCACTAAAAACACACTTGGTTATTCATAGTGGGGAACGCCCGCACGAATGCGAAATATGCAATAGAACATTCACTCAATCGTTTAATCTGAAACGTCACATGCAGATTCATAGTGGTGAACGCCCCTATAATTGCATAAAATGCAATAAAACATTTGCCCAGTGGTTTAATCTGAAAGCACACATGCACATTCATTCTGAAGAGCGTCATTATAAATGCGAAATATGTGATAAAGCATTCCATTCATCACGTGCTTTAACAAAACATAGACAAATACATACTGGAGACCGCCTCTACAAATGCGAAAAGTGCAATAAGACATTTACACAATTAGGAAATCTGAAAACTCACATGCGCATTCATTCTGAAGAGCGTCCTTACGAATGTGAAATATGCAGTAAAGCATTCCGTACATCAAGTGATTTAAAAATACATAGTCGTATACATACTGGAGAATGCCCCTACCAATGCAAAATATGTTATAAGACATTCCGACAATCATGTAATCTAAAAAAACACATGCAAATTCATTCTAGTGAGCATCCTTATGAATGTGAGATATGCAATATGAAATATACTCAGGCGCACAATTTGAGAAAGCACATGGCTGTTCATAATGAAAAACCAGATGAAAATCAATAAAATATTAATTAGCTGAAACCAACTCTGTAAGTGCAGTTGTTTGAAACATCTTTGAAAACTTGTTTTTGTTGCATTGTAAATGTTATTGCTATTATACAAATATTAGTCACAAAAATACATTGATATGAATATATTCTGCTTATGTATTAAAATTATTTGATCTTTGAACCTTTATATCCTTCTTTATTGCTTCATTGTATCTTATATCATACTCTGTGTACGATTGATTAAAATTCCCTTCCATTTTCACCACTTATTGAAATTACAATTTTAATTAAACTTCCAAAAGATTGCAGTAAAAGTCTGACTGCTATCATATAGTGATATCACACCATAGTATGTTCACCTTGGAATTCGAGATGCCCAGCTGTAAGTCTGAAAATGCTTGTATATTGACATCCTAAAAGTTGTCTCAAAACCTACATATGGTAGGGTAATAATTAATAGTCCAGTTATTATAGTAAGTTCACCTCGGAATTCGAGATACCCAGCTATAAGTATGTAAATACTTGTATATTGACACTAAAAGTTGTCTCAAAACCTACATATGGTGGGATAATAATTAATAGTCCAGTCATTATAGTAAGTTCACTTCGGTATTCGAGATACCCAGCTGTAAGTCTGTAAATACTTGTATATTGACACTAAAAAGTTGTCTCAAAACCTACATATGGTAGGGTGCACTTACTCTATGTTGCGTACACTTCAGTACACAAAAACCGTAGACAGAGACGCGGCGCTTACGCGCTTCGATATTGCTTCTCTATGCATTTAAAGCAGTGCGATTGCTTTGAAAAATAGTTCAAAATTTCCAAAATATTTCAAAATAAAAAAACATTCAAAATTTTCTTTCAAAGTTAAAAAAAAATATCTTTTTAAAAAAAATTAATTTATGGTATTATATGTTCCAGCAATTTGCCTTAAGGCACGATGCCATATACCACTAGTTAATTTTTTTTTAATGACTATTATCTAATAATCATAGAATTAAGAACGTTCGTTTTTTTAAAAAAAAGAGTGTGCGTAAGTTCTACACGCTATTGAAGTAAAACTTATTTGCTACTGTACAAAGTAGCAAATTTAAGTTAAGAAAAAATAAATACATTATATAACAATTTTGAATATTTTTTATTAGTAATATGGTAACACTCTTGATGCACACATTTATTATTGTCAACTATTAAACACATTTATATAATGATAAATTATAAATTATATATTACAGCATTAAAAATATCTAAATTATTTAAAAACATTAATGTAATTAAAGTCATATTTCAAATATAACATGATCAGTTTGTCATTAATTTTCATTTATAAATGAACCTTCATTAGAGAAATGAAGTAATTGCTGATTGATAAATTCTATAATATTCGTTCACACAGTGGATTATATTAAACAACGCCTAAATAAATATTGTTTTCGCAACTTCATTCATCATGTAATAATTGTGTTTGAAGAACTTCATGTAATTAAAATTTACATACATTCATTGACTGATTGTATTTTTTTTACTTTTTCGCTGGCGATATAATCTCATTATTTTGAACAGCTGTAATATCTGTCTTGCCTAAAAAATATTTTCCATTTTAATAACTTCAAAGATTTATAGAAACTACGAAAAATATAAAAATCATTTCAATAAACTTATGTTTCATACACGGCGCAAATGCTGCATTTGTTTTATTATTTTCATTATAATTATTTACGGGAGACAGGATGAAATATTCTTCTGATACAGGCATTTTCCATTAAATCAAGATTTGCACTACGATGTAACTTTAAAATGTTTACTTATCTATGTCGATTTACTTGTTGATATCGGTACGCATACAACGTTGATGCCGGTATGCATACAACGACAGATTTTTATTCACATACGCGACGACTAATGACAATCGACCCGTATAGAAATGATATCATCGAGAGCGAATGACGAATCATTGGCACTCGATTCTTATCTTATCTGCCGTAACGCACCTCCGTTGCATTTGTACGGATTTACACCATAGTCGCGCCTAAAGAAGTTTTACTTCAAAAATTATAAAAAAATATAATAGTAGTGTTTACTGTATATTTCATACTATTTATACAAATCATTACATGCAAGAAAAGTTTACAACATGTTTCCAAATATTTAAATTTAAGTAAACAAATATGCTTATTGTTCATTGATTTTCACCACGCTTCTGACTATGAAGTGCCATGTGTCTTTTCAAATCATTCGATTGAGTAAATTCCTTTTACATACTTCATATTTATAAAGACTCTTGTTTATGAAACAGCATGTGCATTTTCAGAAGTCTTATTCATATGCGGGGGTACTCCGCTGTGTATCAGCATGTGTCTTTTCAGACAATATAATCGCGTAAATGTCTTATTGCATATATTGCATTCATGGGGGCGTACTCCATTATGAATGAGCATGTGTTTTTTTAGATCACATGTTTGCATGAATGACTTTTTGCATATATTGCATTCATGGGGACGTGCTCCACTGTGTATCATCAGCTTGTGACTTTTCAGATTACTTAAATCTATGAATGTCTTATTGCATATGTTGCATTGATGGGGGCGTGCTCCACTGTGTATCAGCATGTGATTCTTCAGAGTGCTTGATTGCGTGAATGTTTTTTCGCATATATTACATGCATGGGGGCGTACTCCAATATGAATGAGCATGTGTTTTTTCAGAACATCTTTCCTCATGAATGTCTTTTTGCATATATTGCATTCATGGGGACGTTCTCCACTGTGTATCAGCTTGTGACTTTTCAGATTACTTAAATCTGTGAATGTCTTATTGCATATGTTGCATTCATGGGGACGTGCTCCACTGTGTATCAGCATGTGACTCTTCAGACCGCTTGATTGCGTGAATGTTTTTTTGCATATATTGCATGCAAGGGGGCGTACTCCATTATGAATAAGCACGTGTCTTTTCAGATCACCTGTTCGCATGAATGTCTTTTTGCATATATTGCATTCATGGGGACGTGCTCCACTGTGTATCAGCTTGTGACTTCTCAGATTACTTAAATCTGTGAATGTCTTATTGCACGTACTGCATTTGTGGGGGCGCTTACCACTGTGTATGACTAAGTGTTTTTTCAGGCTATTTAATCGATCAAAAGTTTTGTAACAGATTTCGCATTTGAAAGGACGTTCTTTGCTATTATTAGCAATATGTTCGGCCATATGCTCTTTTAAATGATCTGATTCTGCAAATGATCTATTGCAAAGGTCACATTCATAAGTTGTTGTCTCGACTAACTCCTGTTTGACTTCTTCTTCAATTGTCACCTCGGAATTCATAAATCTTTCTAAACACGTATCATCATCTTCAGAACACGATTCAGATTTAACAATAACGTCGGGATCATCAAAATCATCCTCTATTTCGAGTTTAATGTCTTCTGGTGAATATTCTGGTGGTTCAATTTTAATTGTCTGTTCATTCATAGACATAATTGTTTCCTTCGACATTTTTAAATATTTTCACTGCTTATACTCATAAAAAAAATTACGAAAATAGTTGTGGGCTAAATAATAGCCTAAATTTATCAATATTTTTTTTTCAATGTGATAAATAATTTCAACTTTTACATTTATTATTTGACATATGAAGCGTAGAGTTTTTTGTAGCAGTAGAGAGAGTAGAAACATATTCGCTATTTGTGAAGCATAGATAAACAAGTATAAATGGATGGCATACTCGGCGGCTTTGACATTATTCGCTCCGAGCGTGACTGTAGCGCCTATACAGCGCCGTAATAAATATTGAACTAATTGGGGCTATCAGTGTGTGGTTTTCATGGGTTTTACATGTTTGTTAAAGAAAAAAAAATTGAATAATTGTTATAAATAATAATAAACAAGACACGATTATAATGTGAACGCTGAATGTTTATTGAAATTATTAAATTTACTTCAACGTACTTAAAACATAGTTAAGTATAATGATTAATTAAATAAACAAACGCAGTAAACATTTTTAAGGTTAAGCGCCTCAAAGCTTATGTAATAATCTCGGAATAGTTCTTAATAAAAACAATATAATAAATAATATTTTATTAATAGCATAAATTAATAATACATTAATTTACTTATTTTTTTATTATTGTTGGTCAAACTAAAGACTTAGACATTATTATAAAGTCATGATTTAGACATTATTATAAAGACAAGACCCATCAAATAAAATTGCAGGAAAAAAACTACATTAACTTTTCGAGACTTGTAAATTGAAGGAAATATTGTTGACAAGTAGGACTCAATACCTCGTCCGATTCATTGCAAATGCGATCATAGGGCTTGATTCCGGTACGCATAAAACAACAGATCTCTATTCACATACACGAAGACTAATCACAATCTACCCGTATTGAAAAAATTTCATCGAGAGCGAATGACGTACAGTTCGGGCGTAACGCTATTTCCGTTGCATTTGTACGGATTTACACCCTAGTCGCGCCTAAAGAAGTTTTACTTCAGAGATTAAAAAACTCTAAAATTTTTATGATGACAGATGAAGCCATTTTCTTATCTCTGGGTGAAGCGAAGACAACACCACCTTAAATCATGCTAAGAATTTGCTAACATTTCAGCCAGCGTGAAGTTAGCATCTGTGTTTCTCTAAGGAAACACACACACACATACTTTTTCGAAATTTAGTTTCATTCAATTCAGAATGGCCTCAAACGTCGAGAAAACATAAAATTAGCTAAAAATAAACTTCTCCTTTGGGAAGTTATGAAACAATGAATTTTTTTCGTAACTTATTTATTCGTAATTTCATGACATTTATTTTTAACAATATCAAATATAAGCTTCGAGTTGCCTCCAGAAAGTGTCCTTTGAAAAAGACACATTTTTGAAAATTGCCTTAAGGCTGGAACTTCTCGTACCAAAATTTAAAATTAATAAAAAAGCCTTTATAGTTTTTGAAAACTTTGCAAAAATGAGATTTTTAAAAATTTTGAAATTAAAAAAAAAATGACAAGAAAAGTTAGATTTTTTTTATATTTAGAAATCTTTTGAAAACTTTGAACTTTTTTGCAAAGCAATCGTGCTGCGTGACTGCTTTAGAGAAGAAATATGAAAGCGCGTAAGCGCCGCGTCGCAGTCTAACGGATAAATATTGGTACGAAACCTATAAAAGTGTAAACATAAAATTTATACTTATTAATAAAATCTCTATAAAATATCTGATAATTTTATATGCATATGTCTAATAATCATTTTTGACCCCTAAATGGCATTTTTTTACAGTTTTTTTTTTCGATCTCGGAAACCGCTGCCTTCCCAAAAACCTAACTTTTATTTATTCTGTCAATACAAGTGAACAGTGTTTTTTGAATTATTTAAATCGGACGCTCCGTTCTCTCAAAAACTGAATTACGATTTTTTGCATGTTTGCCCTGTATCTTCGAAATGGCAGGACCTGCTTTGACCAAAAACTGATGAGCAGGTCTCCTTATTAATAGGAATCAAATGTTTTTTAATCACTGAAATCGGTTGATCTGTGATCCCGAAATCCTCGACGAAAATTTGTTTCCGCACACACACACGCATCCAATTTTTCTAAGGTATGCCAAAATGTTCAGAAATCTTTTAAACATAAAAGTGTGCAAAAGATTTCATTTTTTAATTTTTGCAATTACTTTAAATTTTGCCCTACGGAAAGTTAAAATTTACCTTGAATATTGAAAACGACTCGCAATTTAGCCAAATATCCGAATCGATTTTGAAAATTCAAAAACTGTCCGAAAGATACAAAAAACATTTAGGAATCGTGCTGATTAGTTCTTGGCAAAGGTGGGTCGGGTCATCAATTTTTTTATAATATTAATTAACTAATAATCATTCTAAAATTAAAAATGTTCATCTTTTACATTAAAAAAACATTTGGGCGAAGCATAAGGCATTGTTTTGAATTTAAAAAGATGGTAGATGTCTCATCTTCTTAAAAACATTCTCTATGCTTTTGTTGTCAACTTAAATGTCAAATAACTAACTTCTTCAGTTTTTGTAAAAAACGCATTATAGTTAAATTCATTATGCTTAAAATAAGTTAGTAGAATGCGCAATTGTTAATTCAGATAATATTTATTGAATGTATGGAGTCAAAAATATCTAAAAATGTCTGAAGGCACAATTATGTCCAAGAATGATCAAAAAATTAAAATTGAGCCAGTAGAAGAGATTGAAGATGAAATAAAGGATGAGCTTGATGATATTGTTAAATCTGAATCGTTTGTTGCGGATAATGAAACATCTTTAGAAAATTCCATAAATTCTGAAGTGACGATAGAGGAAGAAGTTAAACAGGAGGTAATTGAGACACCGACTTATAAATGTGACATTTGTAATAGATCATTTCCAGAATCACATCACTTAAAAGAGCATAGGATCGATCACGTTCCAAGTCGTACCAAAAAGTACCGCCACGCAAGTAAAAAGTCTTTTAACCTATCAAAAGGGTTTAAATGTAAAATATGTTACAAAGTCTTGAAACAATCGAATTACTTAAAGACACATATGCGCATTCATACAGGAGAACGCCCTTTCAAATGCGGTATATGCAATAAGGCATTCAATAACCAATGTGCTTTGAAAGCTCACATGCTCATTCACAGTGACGAACGCCCCCACAAATGCAACGTATGCAATAAGACCTTCAGGGGATCAACTAATTTAAAAGCTCACATGCTGATTCACACTGATGAACGCCCTCACGTATGTAATATATGCAATAAGACATTCAGACAAACAGGTGCTCTGAAAACTCATATGCTCATTCATAGTGATGCAACCCCTCATGAATGCAGGGAATGCAATAAGGCATTCAAACATCTGATCAGTTTGAGCAGACACATGCTCATTCATTCCGGTGATCAAGGAGGTACAAATTTTGCAAGAAGGGATTTAGACAATCAAGTATTATGAAAAGACACATGCTCATTCATTCAGGTGAGCAAGGAGGTGCAAAAGGGGATGCTATACATCAAGTTTGAAAAAACATATTTGTATCGATACTGGTCAACAACCACAGAGAATGTAAAATATGCAATAAGACATTTAGACATTCAAGTGTTCTTAAAAAAAAAAACACATGCGTATACATTCTGCAGAACTTTTTTATAAATGTGAAATATGCAATGAGGGATATACTCAAGTGCACAATTTAAGGAGACAAATGGCTGTTAAATATAAAATATATGATGTAAATTAATGAAATATTAATAAGTACAAACGAACTCTATGTATGCAATAATTTGAAACATCTATGGTTTTATTTTTATTGTAAATTTCATTACTACTATACAAATATTAGACATAAATATATTTATATAAATATTTTCTGTCTATGTATTAAAATTATTTGATTTTCAATCCTTTTTAACTTCCCATAGGGAAAGTTATTGTAATCGTCCAAAAATCGAAATTGAAACTTTTTGCATATCTTCACTTTTCAGAGTTTTCTGAACAATTTGGCATACGTCAGAAAAAATGTGTGTTTGTGTATATATGTGTGGATACAATTTTTCGTCAAAGTTTTTGGGCGCACGGATCAACCGATCAGAATGGTTTAAAAAACATTCAATTCCTATTGATAGGAAGATGTACTGATTAGTTTTTGGCAAAGACAGGTCCAGCCGTTTCAGAGATTTGGAGCAAAGAGTGCAGAAAATAGAAGTCGAGTTTTTGAAAGAACGGAGTGATCCAAAAAGCATTCAATTCGTAATGATGGGGAGTAGTGGTGATTAGTTTTTGGCAGAGGCAGGTCCAGTCGTTTCGGAGATACGGGGCTAAATGTGCAAAATTAGCAGTTTTTGAGATACCTAAGCATCCGATTTGAATGATTCAAAAAACTTTTTGCTTGTTATACCATTTTTTGCACAATTAACTCTATATCTCCGAAACGGCCGGACCAGCTCTTGCCAAAAACTAATGAGCACGCCTCCTTATCAATAGGAATCGAATGTTTTTTGAATCATATAAATCAGTTGATCAGTGTTCCCGAAAACTTCGATGAAAAATTGTATCCATACATACATACAAACATGCACAAACATCAATTTTTTTGTTTTGAGGTGTGCCAAAATGTTAAGAAACCTTCAAGACGATTACAAGAACTTACCCTACGGGAAGTTAAAAATATTTTTTGGAAATCAGATTTTTTTTTAATTTTGAAATCAAAATTTTATTTGCTTTCCTAAAAAACTAATCGTTTCTTCCTATTCAACACAAGCGAATCGTTCAAATCGGTTACTCTTCTATTTTTTATTTTTTCAATTTCTATTTTCTGCACTCTTTGCTTTGTATACTTTTTGTGAATAATTCAAATCGGTTGATCCATGGTTGATCCGTGCGCCCGAAATCGTGGACAAAAAATTGTATATAAATATGCTAAAAATTGCATTTTTGATTTTTGGTCGATACATATAACTTATCCCACGGAAAGTTCATAATTGATAAACGTCATTAATAATAATTAATATGAACTTTTAATACATTTGGCAGTTTTGTTTGTTTGTCATTCGTATTTTGGTTTGACAGTTTTGTTTGTTTGTCATTCGTATTTTGGTTTGAGTAGCAACTTGAACAAAAAAACGGCATTGGAATTTTATTTATTTATATAATTTTATAGTAACAATTTTCATTGCTCCGTCATACACGTTTTTATTTGAATATTAATGACTAGTTGGTTTGGTATTTAGCCTTGAGGCAAGTTACATGAACTTTCCGATATATGTAAATAATCGGGATCAATAAAAAATAAATTAATCGAAGAATTTTCTAAAAGCAAATTTTTAAAAATCAATAATTTATTAATTGGACCATTTTTCGTAGGACTTAAATGATTTATTACGTTTATTAAGACCAAGTACTCTATCGTTATACCAAGTGAATCATCTAATTTTAATTTTAACAAACGTCAAAAAAACTACTCATTTTCTCAAACTTTGATTAATTTTTAAAATTAAACTACTTGTTGTGAGGCCGTAATAATTCAGTAAGTTCTATAAGACCATGGTATATATCGCCAAAAAAAGTTCCATAAACATCGTCTTAATTTTTTTTTCAACAGTTAATTACAAAAAAACGGCACGGTAGATATTCACCTAAAACTAATCAGTATCATTCCCAACTAATATCGTTCGAACAGTTTTTGATTTTTTAAAATAGATTCGGTAGAATGAGCTTAAATGTGGACGAAAAGTTCAACACTTTTTTCCAAATTTCAAAGAACCCGCTCGGCTGATCGTCGCACAAAAGTGACAAGCGATAGTCCTCATTGAGACACATCAAATGATTTTTAAATTTCTGAAATCGGTTCAGGCATTTTTGAGCAATCGTCGATGAAAGGTCTAATTTTGACAAATGCCAAAAACACGATACTAATTTTTGCAAACTTTGACGAATTTTTAAAGCTAAACGAGTTGTCGTAGGGCCGTAATATTTTAGTATGATCTAGAAGACTATGGTATCTACCGTCAAAAAATAATAAAAATCGTCGAAAAAATTTTTTTTAACACTTTATTACAAGAAAACGGCCCGGCTGATCTTCTCCAAAAACGGTTTTTGAATTCTCAAAATCGATTCAGAATTGCGGGCTAAAACGTAGACGAAAAATTTTTCACTTTTCTGCAATTTACAAAGAAACGCTAGTCCTCGTCGAGATACATCGAATGGCTTTTGAAATCGGTCTAGCCGTTTCTGAGAAATCGTCGATTTACGGCAAAAAATCTGTTCACACACACACACACTTTCCAAATTTGGTCTCATTCGATTCAGAATGGCTTGAAACGCCGAGAAAACATAAAATTAGCGAATCGCATTTTTTGATGAAAACATAAACTTCTCCTTCGGGAAGTTAAATATTCATTTTAATAAATAAATAAATTTATAAACAAATTTGTGTTGATATGTCCATAGATAAATGAGCATCCATATATATGTCTGTCAGTGCTGTCAACAAATATGGCGCCCATCAGTCACTTTTGAAAATTTTATGAAAAATGTTAACGAATAATAAAATATGTATAATTACATAGCATGTTGAATGTCTATATTAATTATGAAATAATTATATTAATTAATTAATATTAAATAACAAATTTGTGTTGATATGTCTGTCAGTGTCAGTGCTGTCAACAAATATGGCGTCCATACTTGTCAAACGTACTTATGAAAATTTTATAAATAATGTTAAAAAAGGATGACATATATATTTACATAGTATGATAACAATGATACGTTAATATTAATTATGAATTATTTATTTTAATTAATTAATATTGAATAATTAACTTGTGTTGATTTGGTTGTCAGTGGTGTCAACAAATATGGCGAACCTGCTGTCAAAAGTACTTATGAAAATCTCATGAAAAAATAAAATAACAGTTAAAAAATTCATAATAACAAATATATAGTTGATAAACATTACATAGTATGATTAAATCAGGTGTAGTTATATGTGGTGAAATATAATATAAATAGTTTAACCTGAAAGTGTATATTTTCTTTTATCTTCATGAAACGTCAAACATCTTAATTGAGAAATAGAAAGAAAGAAGTTGTACGTATTACTATATAAATCACCTATTGGTTTTAATATTGAACTAAAGTCTGTGCATACATAATAAAATGTCTGAACAAACCACTGTCTGCTTGAACGAGCCCCAGATTAAAACTGAACCCTTGGAATATTCTGTAGAAGACTCTGAATTCGAAATAGTTGGTGTAAAGGAAGAGTCAGATGACTTTGATAGTGACGATGATGCACCTTTGGCAAGATCCATGGAGCCTGAAGTAACGATAGATGAAGCTGAAGAAGACACACTTGAGACCCATAGTAATAGACCAAATGATAATGAACCAAATGGTGATGAACCAAATGATAATCAACCAAACGATAACAAACCAAATGATAGTAAATCATATGTTGATTCTGGCATGTGTAATGATGATTCCCATGTTTGCACAAGTTGCTCACAAGCCTTTTCTAATCAACAAGACTTAACAAACCATGTTTGCGAAAAGAAGCCTTTTGTATGCCCAACTTGCAATAAATCTTTCATCACAAACTACCGTCTAGGTCGACACCTTCGTGTCCACACCGGAGAGCGCCCTTACAAATGCACTGAATGTGGTAAATCCTACAACGAGTACACTAACCTCAAAGGACACATGAGCGTGCACACCGGAGACTACGCTTACTCATGCGAAATCTGCGGTAAAAAATTCACTCGTAGGTGGAATTTAAAATCCCACATAGCCACTCACACCGGACAAAGGCCTTATGAATGTGACAAATGTGATAAAACTTTTATCCAAGCGAGTATTTTGAGGCGACACATGAGAACACACACAGGAGAACGTCCTTATGTTTGTGAAATATGCACTAAGTCTTTCATGGTGAGGAATGCTTTAAACGAGCACCGGTTTGTGCACAATGGGGAACGCCCACATCAGTGTAATAAATGTGATAAAACATTCACTCTAGCGAGTAATTTAAAAGCACATATGGTCTACCACACTGGAGAACGCCCTTTTGTATGTCATATTTGCGATAAGGATTTTGTGCAATTGGGTAATTTAAAATCTCATATGGCTACTCATACTGGGAAAAGACCCCATAAGTGTAATGTTTGTGATAAGACGTTTAAGTTGAAATGTAACCTGAAAGAACACATGTTGAAACATAATGGACATCTTCATAAATGTACGATTTGTGAAGACACTTTTGCTAGTAGAATGAAGTTGAAGAAACATATGGGGGAAACCCATAATGGGGAGTCAACTCAGCAGTGATTGTTTAATAGATTTATACAATAAAGACAATAAATTAATGTCAGCGAACAAATTATTGCAAATACTATAACATAATATATTATGATTCAAATACATTACAGCACTTTATACAAGCATAGCAAATGTGTTATATTAATTTATAATTATACTAGATGACCCCACAGACGTTGTTCTTTACCCATGACTACAATTCAAAAGTTCCAATTATTTTAATATCCTGTTCTATTCTATTTAATGTCCTATTTGATGCCCAGCCTTTGTGATTCATTTATGGTCTTACAATTAGTATAAATAGTATAAGAAATTCAGAAAATAATAATTTAGTATCTGCATTAAAAGACTTGATTGCTTCAATAATTAAGTTTATAATTTTCATAATTTCGTACTATTAGTTGCTATTTGGCAATTATAATATCTAAAGTACATTTTTCTTACTAATAATTTAATATATAATATTGATTATGCTCAAATCTTATGTGAATTAATTTGTAAAATCTAGTTCATATGTGCTCTATTCAATCTAAGATCAACTCACTAAATATTCCATTTCCAATGCCAAACAAATGAATTTTTGATACATGAAACAAAATTCTAAATCATTTTATTAATAAGTAGAAATATTTTTTTGTATTGTTAATTAATTTATTAAAGTAAACCAAAATGCGACATGCAAAAGTTTAAAAAAGTAATGTATATGCAATTTTGGACTTATTGCGTTATTTATTAAACTGAATTATATAATTTCGTCTGCCAAACATATACTGTTTACTGTATCTTATATTATTTTAATTTCTGGCACATCTCAGCTGCTTTTCGGCAATAATAATGTAGACATTACATTTTTCTTGTATATTCTATTCTAATATTATCTAGGCTCATAATTTTAGCTAAATTCAAATTTTAAGTGAATTGACATTTCTAGCAAATGACAGTTTAAATGTTTCCAATGCCAAACAATAAGTAGTTTTTTTTTGTAATGTGTGCCATTTATTTCTACAATATTACTATAGTTTTATCGTTCATTAAATCTTGAAAATTTCCTTTAACCAACTCTAAAAAAAATATCAAAATCCGAATAACCGTTTAGGAGAAGTATCAAATCATACACCCGTACAGAAGAATTTAATATATAATATACACATATATGAACTAAAATCATTGATTTTCTAGTACTCTCATACCATGGACCTGCCTTCGAGCAGACGACTATTTATTATTATTTCGATTTCTATTGGTAAGGTGACGTGCTGATTAGTTTTTGGCAAAGACAGGTCCAGCTGTTTCGGAGATACGGAGCAAAGATTGCAAAAAATGGAAAGTAAATTTTTGGGAGAATGGAGCATCTGATTTGAATGATTCAAAAGCGTTCCACTTGTATTGACGTAATAAAAAATTGATTAAGTCTTTGCAAAGGCAGGTTCAGCGGTTTTGGAGATCCAGAAAAAAACAAAAATGCCGTTTGGAGGTTCAAAATCAGATATTTTGTATTTGAAACAACTAATATAAATGCTAATCAAATACTTTCATGGAATTTCAAAATTTACAGAAAAAAAATTCAAATATTTCAGTATTCAAGAAATTTTCAGGTTTTCAAAAAAATATAAGTTTTCAAACAAAATTCGAAATTCTCAAAAAAAGTCTAATATTTCTAAGCTTTTAAAAATGTTATATTACAGTAGGGGAAGTTCCAGCAATTTGCCTTAAGGAACGATGCCATGTACCACTAGTTTCATATTTAATTTAACTTTGTGTGACTTATAAATCACTCATAAATTAATATATTGATTTCGGGATGTTCTTGCAACTTGCCTTAATGGCATAATGCCACTTACAACTAGTTTTAATTATTTTTGGCAGAAAATCCGACTTGCTAATTATGTTTTCTCGACGTTTCAAATTATTCTGAAACATTTGAGACCGAATTTGGGAAAAAATGTGTAAGTGGATTTTTTAATTGCGAAGGAAATGCATCGCACATGCTAAGCTAGGTCTTTTGTCTGGGTAGGTTGGAGTCATAAATAATACCAACTAAAATGCCACTTATAACTAGTTTAATGATTTCATTTAACTAATTCAACTTAAATTAAGAAATGAGGGTGTTTACATAATATCATAACTTAAATAATTATGGTTAATGTAAATAGCAAATTTCATTAAAAAATATTATTTTTTAAAATAAGTTCATGTTTTTGTCAGAAAATCTGATTTGATAATTATGTTTTTTCGACGTTTCAAATTATTCTGAATCGTTTGAGACCAACTTTGGGAAATAATGTATGTGTTTTTTTTAATTGCGAAATGCGGAAATGCTTTAACACATGCCACACAGGCATTTTTTCTTGGGGGGAGGTTCTAGAATTGTACCATTCACTTTTATACTTTAACACATACCTATACTTAATGTATTTGTTTTTGAAACTCGACGTTTCAAATCATTCTGAATTGTTTAAGACCGAATTTTGGAAAAATGTGTATATGATTTTTTTTTAATTGCGAAGGAAATGCTTTTATACACATGTCATGCTAGGTCTTTTGTCTGGCTATGTTGGACTAATAAATAATATCAACTAAAACTTCAGCATTACTTCTTGGTGGGAGGTTCTAGAATTTTATGATTTTCACTTTTAATTATACTTTCACACATACTTAAGTATGTATTTGTGCATGTGACTCTTGATCCACGTTTTCTCAAACACTACTGAACCGATTTTTAAAATTCAAAAACCATTCGATGGAACTCCATAATGATTCTTGTTGATTACTTTTGCACGACGATCGCATATTGGTGGGAGGCTCTAGAATTCCCACTTTTAATTATACTTTCCACACATTTTTAGTATGTAATTGTGCATGTAATCTTTCATCTACGTTTTCTGAAAAACTGCTGAACCGATTTTGAAAATTCATTCAAAAAATATCAGTTGTGGTCCCTGCTGATTCATGATTACACAGAAACTGCCGTTAGGCATTAGTTCTTGGGGGAGGCTCTAGAATTGTATGATTCCACAATTATACTTACTTAAGTATATATTTGTGCATGTGACATTTCATCTACGTTTTATCAAAAACGGCTGAACCGATTTTAAAAATTCAAAAGCCATTCTATCGAACTCCACAACGACTCCCGTTTAGAAACTTTTAAGTCTGAACCGATTTTGAAAATTCAGAAACTGTTAAAGAAATATCGGTTGTGATTCTTGCTGATTCGTGACTCCACGGAAACTGCCGTTAGGCATTATTTCTTAGGGGGGAGGCTCTAGAGTTTTATGATTTTCACTTTTAATTAACCTTTCACACATACTTAAGTATATATTTGTGCATGTGACCTTTCAGCCACATTTTCTCAAAAATCGCTGAACCGATTTTAAAACTTAAAAAGTCATTCGATGGAATTCCATAGCGACTCCCGTTGATTGGTGGGAGGCTCTAGAATTCTATGATTTTCCAATCTTAATTATACTTTCACACATATTAAAGTATGTATAATATTTGTGCATGTGACCTTAAAAATTAAGCTCTCATTCACGTTTTCTCTAAAAACGGCTGAACCGATTTTAATAATTCAGGTAAATTTTAATTCAAAAGCCATTCGATGGAACTCAATAACGACTCGTGTTGATTACTTCTGCACGACGATCGGCTACGTCGTTTTTTTATGGTGCAAAATTTTTAAACGAAAAATCTTGAACCGACATTCAAGACTAAAATATTATAAATAAAATATTAATATAAATAAATTATCTCACCATATGTGGTGACTTCTAGAAGCGATGGGTGTCAGACAAAGTACGTTTCCTTTGAATTCTTTTGGAGCATCCTCAGAGTTGTTTTTAGGATTTTTGGAGATCCCCAAAGAGTACAAAGACACCAGAAAAATAGCAAAGAACACACACTTCATTTTTAACTAACTAATTAAAACTAATTAATTAATAATAATTGAAAATTATTAATAATTAATACTTTTGTAGGTTGTGTAACCTACGCTTAATTAAAAATGAAGAAATTTTCGATCGGTTCGATTAGTCGAAATTTTTTTAGTAAAACGTATTTAGCGCTGTAAATTTGGAAAATAATTCGATAGTAAATGAAAATCGTGATTTTTTGTTTATTGGCAAGTTGTATATGATATATTTATATATATATATATACTAGATGACCCGACAGGCGTTGTCTTATACCCACGTCTACAATTTTTTAATTAGTGATTAGTGAAAGATGCGAATTAGTGATTAGTAAAAGATTAGTGATTTACATACATCATTACAGAAAAATTTTATATGTAAGATATATATGTATTAAAATATTTTATGCCATCAAATTTTCCGAATGCATCATTCATATTAATCGAATGGTTTAAACATTTCTAAAAGATATATAAAAGTAATACATTAATTTTATATATCAGGATTTTTTTGATATCCCGGGGCCGATTCTCCAAAAAAATCGAAAAGTAATGGCAACGCTATGTTATGAGTCCATCTTTGTATGAATAGATAATAAAAACAGTCAAAATTGTATGTATTTGCTGTGCGATCAGGCGTCACACATTAAACCTAACCAACAAAATGCAACAAATAACAATTTTATCACAAGTGCATCTTTCTGATGTGCATTCATAACACAAGTGTGAAGGTAGGTTTCATGTGTAAAACGCCTCATCACAGAGCAAATACATAGCATTTTGATAGTTTGTTACTACCGACTCATACGAAGATAGACCCGTAACATAGCGTTGAAATAAGATTTCTATTTTATCGCATAATTGGCGCCATGGTTTTAATTTTGTAGGGTTGTGAAATTCAGTGGTTTATATAATTAACTTCCCGTAGGGTAAGTTATAGTAATGAGCCAGAAACCTAAATTGAAAATTTTTGCATATCTTTACGTTTCAACAGTTTCTGAACATTTTGGCATACCTTAGAAAACGTGGATGTGTGTATGTACGTGTGGATACAATTTTTTGCTCACTTCTCGGGCGCACGGATCAACCGATTTGAATGATTCAAAAAACATTCGATTCCTACTGATAGGGAGATATGCTGATTAGTTTTTGGCAAAGGCAGGTGCAGCCATTATGGAGATAGGTAGCAAAGAGTGCAGAAGATAAA